TTTTGCCTAAGGAATGACCAAAAGCCAAATATGGGTTGGAGCAGAAGACGTAAGCATTTAGACTTGTTTCTCTAGGTGGATGATGTTTTACTTTCGAGTTTTCTTGAAAAATCTAAAACACCCAGCAGAAAGTGTTTTGAAACAATAACTGGTGGTGCGTTGGGGGGGGGGTACACTTAGAAACTATTTAAGTGCATTTAGGTGCATTTAGAAAACTAGGACCTATTTTGTGTGGTTAAAATTGGGATTGGAGGAGATGTGATCCGTCCCTTGTTGGGGTTGCCTGTTTGCTAGGGGAACAAGCACGTAGAAGTAATCACCCAGACGTGGGTGTGCCATGCGGGAGAAATGGAAGTTGTGCCAAGTACTATGCAGGAAAAGTGTAGGGAAGCTTGAATGCACTTGGCTTTGGGGTTAATTTAGAGAATGGATGGTAGGAAGTTACTTCACTACTGCTTAATTAAACCACCTTTCTAGAGAGGGGATGGTTCTCCCAGCTTTGTAAAGTATTTCCTCCAGGAACCAAGGTTTTGCTTCCATCCTCCTACTTTCCATCTCTCCCTTCCTTTTCCCTTTTTCCTTTCCTTCCCTCACCTGTTTTTCCATCCCTCTTCCTCTGTCCCCTCCTTCTCTTATTTCCCCCCCCCCTCTTCCTTCTTCTTCTCCTCCTCCTCCAGTGCAGTTCTATTTTTGTTTATTTGTATGAAGGAGTTGCCATATTACAAAGCAATTTATGAATACATTGGATCTTGGTCACTGTTACCCCTTTCAATATTCTTAGCCATCCCTCCCTTCCAAACTCACCTTCTCTCCTGCCTTAGTTTTATAGGATATACTTTGAATTCTTGACTACATTCTCCTCCTCTTCTCTTCATTCATCTACCCCTTTCCCCTTGACCCCACTCTATCCCTTTCAAGTATTCACTTGCTGCTGTTTATTTTGTTGAACTTTGCCTTTGCCTTTGCCTTTCTAAGAAATTACACTATTTGAGTTCTCCCTTGAATCCACTGTATTTAATTCACATATTTGTATATGCTTGCATTACACCCAGTGTCTTTACTTATCAGTTTATAAGCTAAATCTGGCTTCCATGTATAAGTGAAAACCTCCCATCCTATGCCTCTCTGATCCTGACTTACTTTATTTTAAATAATTTTCCCAGATCTTTCTGTTTCTTCACAAATGATAAAATGCCTTTCTTTCTAATGGATGAGTACAACTCCATTGTGTATACATACACATTTTCTTGATCTGTGCATCCATTGAGAGACATCTGGAACTGGGCTGCTTCCATACTTGGCTGTGATGAATAGTCCTGGCTGCTGTTGCCCCTCCTCTTTTTCTCCTTCTTCCTCTTCCTTGTTCTCTACCTCCACCTCTTCCATTTTCCTCCTTCTCCTTTCTTTCTGTCTCTGTCTGTTTCTCCCCCCATCTCCTTCTTCCTTTCTTGAAAAATTAAGATTTTTTTATTTACAGAACCTTGTAACTTGTGGGCTTAAAAATGTCAATTTATAAGCTTGTGTTTTTCTGAGTGATAAAGGGTCCTGGAGAGAGAGAGAGAGAGAGAGAGAGAGAGAGAGAGAGAGAGAGAGAGAGAGAGAGAGAATGTGTCTATAAACTCTAGACATTAAATATGAAGTTCTTAAGAAATCTACACTTGACTATATATAAAACAATGAAAAAAATCTTGTTAGTTGCATTGAGAAAAACTAGGCTTCCAAAAAGAAATCCCTCGTTTGTTGCTACCCCAAAGAGATGTCAAAGCTGCCTGTTTAGAGTGAATGGCTGTACTAGATAGTCAACAGGCACAGTGTGGCACGGTAGATCTTCCAACCTTTGTTCTTTTCTTGTCATTAGATAAGGCAGGGGGACCTTTAGGTTGTGTCTGGTCAGGTCTAGCCTTGGTAATTCTTCATGGAGGAGCAACACATTTTGTAGGTTGTGTACATTAGACACAGCAGAAGAGACTTGAGAACTGCAAGTGGTATCTTCTGACTGTGTAACACAATTGATCAGAGATATGAACAGCTTGTGTGTTTTGTGGGAACCCAGCAACAAGAATTCATTGTTGGTATAAAATTATTACTGCAACACGGTATGAACTGCAGTTAGATCTTTGCAGCTATGGTTTAACTTTGCCTCTTTACATTTATTTATGCTTCTCTAAACTGCAAATGGCCTTCTGTATGGTCTGGATGTGTGTGCCTAAGCTGTGATACATTTAACCTTCCATGGTAGATTTGTGTGTGCATCTGTGTGTGTGTATGTTTGTGTGTGCATGTGTATATATGTGTATGTGTGTGTGTATATATATGTGTGTGTATGTGCTTAAACTCAGGGTCTCCCACTCTGATATGGCTTTTTCCTTTTTTTCCTTTCTTCTCAAGGCTGGTATTCTACCATTTGAACCATTCCTTCACTTACACTTTTTCTGGTGATTAATTGGAGATGACAGTCTCATGGGTTTCTTCCTGGGCTGGTTTGGAACCCCAGTCCTCAGATCTTAGACTCCCGAGTAGCTAGGATTCCAGGCATGAGCCATCAGCACCTAGCTAATTTGCGTGCATCTTTTTGTAGTAATTGATAAATCATATTCTCTACATATATTTTGTGCCTTTGTGACACACATTTTTCTTACTCTACATCTAGGTTCTAGGATGTGTGGGAGATGTCCTTTCACACTGTTGCATATCCCCGTTCCCAATCCATCTACAAGTGCACTGGTCCATTCCAAACCCTGTTGTTCAGGGATCCATCCTATTTTGGAATGCAGGATGTTGAGGATACTGGACATTTTGCATGCATACAAAACACTCCTCACTCAGTACATATTGAGTGCCTGCTGTATGCCGCGTACTGAGATGATAGGGAATAAAGTTTATAAGGCACTCAATCTGTCTGACCCATGCTTCCTAACTATTGCCTCTCCTCAACGGCACCATTTCCTACAATGTCCTGTTCCCACTGCTTCCTAGTGACTTGAATCATGCACAAGACATTAGTAAACAGACAATAAAAAGATATGAGGTTGTTGAGGGGGTGGGGAGTGATGAAATGGAAAGAGATGGGGAATAGAACATGAAGGATGGCAAGCCAGGATTCTCGAAGGGTCATTAAAAAATAAAGAAATCCTATTTGAGGCTGCCAACCTTGGAGCTAAGTTATTTAGAGTGGAAAAAGTTGGCAAACTCAGACCTACTCAACCCAAAGAGCCAATATTTTGTAGGTTTTATGGCCCATGTAGTTTGTGAGCCACCATCACACAATTGTGTATATTATTAATGAGCGAGACAGCCAAGGAAGGGTTATAAAACCTGAGCTGAAAGGAAGGTGGGGGCTGTAAGAGGAGGACCGGGAGACTTCTGTATGGCCTGATGACTTGGGTGAGGAATGGAAGCAAGAAGTAGGAGCTTCTTTAACCGAGAGATTCTGGACGTTCTAAACTCAGTTGACTTTTTCTCATCTTCATTTTGCTTCGAAAACTTCACAGGAGGCTTCTATGTAACCTTCCAACTCGGTGTATCCTTCCAACATCGGTTAATCTGTCTTTCCTAGTCTTCTTCCCAGCATTCTCCACTCATTGAAACCTATTATTAAGTGCCCACTATATATCAGGCATTGTGCTGGACTTGGGCCACCTACTCTCGATTCTATAACATCACCTTTGTTTGCACCAGCCTCAGAAGCCCTGGGTCAGTGTATTAATGACCTCTCTACCTCATCAGATGAGAGGTAAAGATTTATCTACTATTTCTTTCCTTACCTTCCTTCTTCCTGTCTCCTTCAAGGTATCTTTATTTAGGCTGTGATTTATGACCATGTCTGTAAAGTCAACTACTCTGCTTTCCTTCTTGTTTTTATTCTTTTATCTTCTCTGTGTCTTCAACCATTGCCCGTGTTTTGGTCTATTTCCTTCAGCCTGGATGGCATATTTGCAGGTCTGTGGTATTGCAAAGATCCTTTTGTGGTAGATGTGTGTATGTGTCTTGTACCCTTTAGCTACTATGCTGTCTCTTACTTTGTTTCCTTCTCATCCAAGATCTATCTCAGGATAATGACTTTCATTGATCTTCGCTTCCTCATCCCTTTGTGTTTGCTTCTGCTTCTGCCCATCCCTCAGAACTCATTGCTAAGCATCTTGTAGGTCAAATCCTAGTTCCAGCTATGTTTCCCTGCGCTCCTCTGACTCTCAGCATTCTCAGTCACTCTTCTGCAAGCATTCTAGGAACATTTTTACAAGCATTTCCTTGGTTCCTCCAGATCTTTGCTTTCTTGCGGTGTGTTTTCTGTTTCAGTCCTGGGATAGGTTCCCTCCCCAGAAGTGTTCAAGGTGAGGGGAAGCATCTGTGTTTTTTGGCTCTCCTCATTCCACATGTTTTAAAGAAGACCATTGAGTATTGAAGAATAGTATTCTCCAGTTATAGGGTCAGGTTGTGAAAACTGTTGGGGGGGGGAGAAGGAGGGGTTCCCTGGTAACAATAGCCGAAGAAATTTGGAATTTCTTCAACATGCATTCTCCGCCATGCATTTGTTCATCTGAGCCTCAAATGCAGCAGCTGTTTTCTGCTTTGTCTCTATTTCCTAACGACCCTTGGTGTGGTCCAGCATTGGAATAAGCATTGGTTTCTAATGTTTCTGAATTAAGTGTGGATTCCTTAGAAAATGAAGAAGGCTGGGAGAAACCAGCTTTCATTTTTGTCATTTTATAGGTAATAGATTCTGAGGTAGACAGTCCATTTCATGAGCAAGTTTCAATCAACAGTTCTTCCTCAAGGTTAATAGAACAGGCAAACACCTTTTGCCATAACAGAAGGTAAGAGGTAAGGACAGATTAGCTTACATTATGATTCATCATTTCAAAATGTCAGAATAAAGTGGATCTGCTCCATCTCCCAGGTCTCTCATTCTTTAGAAAGTGCACGATTTGCTTTTCTAATGCTAATGGACTCATTGGTTGTTGTTTTTCTCCCCCCTCCATTTTTCTTTTCTTCCCCTACAGGCCAAGTTCAGATAATCGACGGCAGAGCAGCCGAGAGAGACTGGGCAGCAGCAGCGACAAGGGAAACTTGGCAATGGAGTCTGCCAAGGAGACGCGCTACTGCGCAGTGTGCAATGACTACGCCTCTGGCTACCATTATGGAGTCTGGTCCTGTGAAGGCTGTAAGGCCTTCTTCAAGAGAAGTATCCAAGGTAATAGTGTGTTGAAAACAACGTATTCTATTATAATTGTTATTCTGACTCCAAAAGTGGAAGGACCACATGATCAGTCACCTGTACTAAACAGTAATCTAGCCAGCTAGGTAGAAATGTGAATAAGTGGGACTCCTAGGAAAAGGAGCTGACTGACACCAGGGCAGCTGCACTTGGCTGCTTCTTCCTCTCCACAAGCTCTGGAGAGTCTTGAGCAAATTCTATCAAAGGAGATTTCAGTAGCAGTGTCTCTGTGGTCTAAAAAGAAATGTCTCTGGCCTGATTGAGAGATGAGAGATGGACACTCACCCTTCTGCTTCAGTGAGATGCTGTGGTAGTGTCTGTGGGTAATTATCTCTCTGCCTTAGCCTTGTCTACATAAATATTCTGTCCTGATCTTTGCTCCGGATCCGATTCTTATTTGGTGTGTTCTCTTCTTCTGCTCCCTCTCTTTTTCTTGTCTTGTGGATGACATGACCTTTTGCTAACATGAGCAGATTTAATGTCTGATGACATTAAAAAGGGGTATGTATCATCTGCACCCAGTAGTTATTAAATGTCCAGCTATAACAACCCACTGTTCTACTCCGATAGACTTCCAGCTATATCAGATTTTCATCCCAGGAATATCTTCATTGCTGCATTTATGGGAGATATCCTTGGAAGAAGACAGGCTTTTTTTCTCCCTACATCTAGGATCTATGTTAAAATCCTTTGTGTCCCAGGACCAGAGATCTGATGGCTGTTAAGGTTTCTATTTATTTATTTATTTAGGTCTTAATAGTGGAGTATTTCTCCCCCTGTTCCTATTCCTTTTTCAGCTTGGCATATAAATACTAAGACTACATGTGAGGGAGTTTTTGTGTGATTCTTTCCACACCAATCTAGACTTGAGGAATTTTTGTTGGAAAACAAGAGTCTGCAGGACATTAGACATGGGTGGAAGGAGTGGTTTTCGGGAACTTTCTGAGATGGCTCTTTACAGCCCTGCTGCAGGACACAAACGGGTTGGTACAAACTATGTATTTTTTTCTTCCATTGCCAGTGCTATTTTTTTTAAAGCCGTTCATATCTTAATAGAATAGCCTGCGAGGTCAATATGATCCATTTTAAAAGCATTTTCTTTGACACTTACTGCTTTCAACATCTTTGAGAATTCAGTTAGAAGGATTAGACTTCTTTGTTGGTGTTTTTATGAAATATAATGATATTCTCTGTAGTAAATGTATGTGACACTATTAATTTTTCTGGCTGATGCTATCTTAATTCAGAAAAGATACAATTTAGACTTGGTTTAGGTTAGTTTAAGGCCCTTAAAGGTATTTTTTTGACATATACTTTAATTTTTTGGTTTTATCATATATTTGACTTCATAATATCACTAAGCGTTTGATCTGGTGGTGAGAAAAGTTTATGATTATGATATGACTAATGAATAGGTTCAATTATGATTAATGAATAGATTCAATCATACACTTTGACAGGCCATTTACCTGAAGTGTAGTTCTCTCCCAAATAAAGGGTGATTTAGGGCTGTGAGCCCCAAAGCTTTTGTATAAAGCAACTATTTTAGCTTGTGCAAGGTATGCATTGTGTGTTAGCTCTCAGCTTTGTTCCTGTGGCCAAAAAGAAGCCATAGTAATATGCAACTAGATGATACTGGCTCTTTGCCAGAATAACTTTATTTACTATGTGATTATAATTTGCTAATTTTAAAGATTTTTATTATTTAAACACCATTATTTGTAGGAAAATATGTGGTTTTAAGACCCAAAGTTTTATTTATATTTTACTGAAAACCTTGCATCTACCTAGATGTTGCCAGTGAAATTGAAAAATATGCAAGACACAATCCATAATGCCACAAGATTCAGAATTTATTTGGGAAGTTTATTTGGGAAAGCAGAAGTATGTTCTCATGATACAATTAGAAAATCAGTTGGAAAAGACAAAGTACCACCAGGTAAAAATATAAGGAAAGTAATAGATGAATATAAGAGAAGAAAATATTTTATACGTAAGATTATAGAGATTGAAAGATGTTTTTATAGCATTCAGGCACTGTAGCTCATGCCTGTAATCCTAGCTTCTCTAAAGGCTATGATCTGGAAGATGGATATTTGAAAAATCTTTGAGACTCCATTATGCAATTAATTCCATCTCCAGTTTACTAAAAGTAAATCTGAAGAGCAAGGTAGAGAGAAACATGTGTGTTCAGTCATATGTTGAACAGGTGAGCAAAAACCAGGAGGAAAAGGAGAATGTGAATGAAAATTAATGAAATGGATTTACCATTAAATGAACCAATGGCATGACTTGCCTATATATTCAGTCTTAGACTGTGTCAAAGCAAAGTTACCATTCCTTGTCTTTTCCATATGTTTCATTTTTTTAATGATTATAAAAGGTAACATACCAGAGTCAGTTTAAGGGTTTTTAGTCCCATTTTCTCATCATAGTCTTGGTACCCTGGAACTGAGAAGTTGTCTTGAACTCTTGTGGCTCTTTGTAAATCACACTGACCCTCAAAGCCATGTAAGGACAGTGAAGAGTCTGACACGTAGGTGGAAAGTTCTGAGATGCTGTTTCTCTTGTTACTTAGGAAGAGAGCTAGGATGAGAATATAGAAGAGTCTTCTCTTGTTTTAAGTGTTTTGGTTGAAGAGGAAAAGTGTTTGACTTGAAAGCATACAGATTTCCATCCACTCCTTAATGTACAAACTTGATTACTTGAAAAATTGAGTAATAGACTTCAGTTGAATGTACTTCTTAAGAAGCAAAGTCAAGGTTCCTATAGGAGTCAGGATGAAATTCTGTATTTTATTGATTTTTTTAATTATTGGAGGCATAGATTTGTGTCTTTAGAGAGAGACCCTAAACTGACTGAATTGTATAAGCCAATCTGGTTATAAGCTCAGCAGTCAGATGTTACCTTTGAGTATTAGTGCAAAGAAAAAAAGGAATCTTCTGAGCTCATTGCTTCTCACACATCATTTCCGAAGGCCACAAAGCACAGAGGGACCCTAACCTATCTGCACAGCTCTAACTATGCTACCATTTTGTTTTCAATCTGGTATGTATGCAGAAGTTGCTCAACATTAGACCAAACAGACATAATGACAGCAGGTGTTTCTTCTCAGGTTAGCTGAGAGCAAGGAGGGCCATGGTGTCAGGGTAGAATCTGGCTACGGTTTAACATAGTGGGGGCCTTAGATCTAACCTGGCTGAGAGCCTGGTCCTCAGGCCCTTACCAAGCTTTAGGGCAAGATCATCCAGCACCCTGGATAGCTCCGAGAGCTGGGGAGAGGTAGCAGACATATATTTTAGAGAATCTCAGGCCTGTGTAGCTGGCCTCATTCATTTGGGAGACCTCTGTTGTAAAAAGAACTTAGCCATTTCAGGCTTGAGGGCTCACATGTTTTCACCAAAGGTGAGTTAGTGTTCCCACCTAATTTTGCAGTTATTTCTAGTCACCTGGCTTATTTATGCACCCTTGTTGGATGTGGCTAGGGAATGAGGAGAGTAGAGAGGCTTCTTCCTTTCTTGTCATGTGATTATTTTATCTCTGAAGTCTTCTCAGAGATTCAGTTGAGAACCAGCTAATATATTCAACTCAAAGTATAAAAGCTTTGGTGTCTACACAAGCCAGTCCCTGTGCAACAGCAGACAAGTCTTTTCGGTGGTTAATCAAGTTGTGTGAGCTTGAGCTTCAACCTATTTGATGCCAGTACAGTAAAAATTTCTCTTCCTATCACCTAAAACATCCTACATCTTTCCATTGCTGCTTCTTACTTCTCCTTCATCACTGTAGTCCAGCCACATTGACCTTTCTTCTCTTCCCCAACACACCAACATATTCTCCTTTTCAGATTCTGAGCTCACCAATACTGTTCTGTGCGTTTGCTTATAATAGCCAGCTTCTTACATTCAGGTTGCTGTCCACAGACACTTTCTCAGTCAATACTTCTGCCTTCTCTTATCAAAATGAGCATCACAAACCATTTCCTAGATTGCTTTCAAAATATTCCCTACCCTGGATACACAGAGATGACGTGTATTTATGGGATATTGTGTGGTGTTTTGATATATGTTTGTGTTGTATAATGTTCAAGTCAGGATAAACCTACTCATCTCCCTGAACATTTGTTACCTACATGTGATAAAAAAAAACATTCAAAATCTGTTCAGCTTTGTTGAGCTCTAAAACACATGATCATTATTTCTGCTCTCAGTACCGAGCAGTAGCACACTAGAACATCTTACTCCTATTCAACTGCAACTGGGTGCCGTCATCATGTCTCCTCCTCTCCCTCTCCCCTGCGTCTGGGAAGCACTGTTCTTCCTTCAGCTTATATGAGGAGCACTTGCTTAGATTCTGCATATGAGCAATATGCAAAATCCTGAGGTATTTGTCCCTGGGTTTGGCTTATGATAACACAATGGCTTAAAGTTTCTGTTCATGTTGTAAAGAAAGAATCACACACTCACACACACACACATATTAATTTATTTTTGCTGGTCCTGGGGCTTGAACTCAAAGCCTGGACACTGTTCTTTAGCTATTTTTCTCAAGGCTACTGTTCTCTACCACTTTCTCTTTTGGTGCTTAATTGGAGATAAGAGTCTCAAACTTTTCTTGCCTGGGCTAGCTTTGAACCTTGGTCCTTAGATCTTAGCCTCCTGAGTAGCTAGGATTATAGGTGTGAGCCACAAGCACCTGGCTAAGAACTTTATGGTACTCTAATGTGAATGTGTCTAAAGTGATAGCAATCATTTTAATCTATATTTTAAAATAGTTTATATTTTAAGTAGGTGTACAAAAAGGTTTCAAATCAACATGTCAGTTTGTGAGTACAATGCATCCATGTCACCCCTTTCCTCATGCTCCCTCCTCTCTTTCAACACCACTTTCCCCTTCACCTTAAGTGGTTCCATTTTGACATATGTACGTTAAATATCACAACTGTTTTCACCCACATTTCCTCTCTCCATTCATCTGTC